TACTCCATACATGAGAAGAAGGAGCTCTGGAGACACCCACCTCAACCGAGTTAAGCACTGCTTAAATTCTGACTGACCTAAAAAAAACCCCTGACACTTTATTGTTAAAGGAACATGCCCATTTATAAACAAACATATTCCCTCTGGTTCAATATAAACCATTTTGATTTGCACCGGTTGTGGATTACAGAAAATTGAGATTAAGCCATATCAACTAAATTCCTTTTGGAAAGACCGAAAGAAGCTTGTTACCCACTTGGAACTCGGCATTTTATTTTTACCCAGAGGGGAAATTTCGTTACATTTCGAAGGGGCTTGCTAGTGTCTTCTAAATTCCTCCACTATCGTTTGTGTGTTCAGACTTCAGAAAGCATTGAGAAGGCACTTAAATTTTAAATAGGTGCATGTAAACTGCACTGTATCTGCTTAAAAAAATAGATCATTTGGGAGGTAAAAAGAATGTCTTCTCTTTCAGTATTAGTGACTGTGGACACTCACTTTTGTGCATAAATATTTACAGCTACATCCTTGCGCTCCATGAGTAACTCCTGCAGCGAACAGAACCAAAACTTATTTTAACCGCGCTGGAGCGCAGGGAGGGAGTTTGCGGCGTTCATGCAATCGTGGTGCTACAATGGGCCGCTAGAGGGCTGTAATAACATCTGCACAGATTACAGCGGTCTTGTCACCGCTCCCATTTATGTCACCGTAAACCGGATCGAGGGAGAACAAAGGAGACATAAAACACTTTCCCCCGCTAATTCAACTGCTCCAAATTCATTAAGCAGAATTGTGATACCGCTGAGGATTTCAGCACCTTTTTCTCAATGTTTGCCCTTGGGCTATTCAAAATGGTTTAAATAATAAAATTGACTTGCCTCCTGATAGCGTTATGGCCTCTTTTTTTTGGATCAGCGATTTCATTAGCAGATAATGCAAATAAAGATTTACTTCTGTTAAACTTTTCAGGGATTTCAAACATCACATCCAAGTTTTCAGCTCTCTGGCTCCTTTCAGTGCTGATTAGGATGGTTTCCTTCCCCCACCCCCAACCCCCTGAGCCTCCGCTCACATTTGTAGAGCTGTGGGATAAAATACAAAAACACAAACAGCTGCAGACACATACTTCAAAGAAATAAATTTGGCATACAATTTTGAAAAATCTTTTGAGGTCTGTGTCATTTTTATGATCGCTGTTACAACTTCTGTCCTCTTGCTATTTCTCCCCTTGATAAAAAACACAAGTACACTTCAAGTGCTCCTCCCATGTAAGGCAGCTTGAAAACAATCCAAATAGCTTGACTGGGAGTTTTTTTCCCCTGAATTTACCGAGCTTACGCACTTTACTGAATGATACACACTTCTTGAAAACCATTATCTGACATGAACCTGCTCCATGTTGCAAGAGAAGTGGTGGAAAGTACCTACTTACATTTCAGCTCCAGTTTGATGAAGTCCGTGTTCCCCAGGTTCTCAAGAAACACTCCGTCGGAGGCCGAAGTTTTGAAATAGAAAGAGATGTCGGCGCTAGTTTCCCCTTGGAACGTGGAGAAGTGCAGGTAGGAGGAGGAAGTAATGAAAGAAGCAGCATTCCAGTAGTTCCCTACAGAGATGGGAGAGAAAGACAATACAGATGTTTCTGTGCTCCCTGGAAGATGCCAGAAAATTTGACGCTTTTAATGTCAATGCATGTGTTTCAGCGTTGTCTAGAGTGAAAAAAAAATGTCCCCTCAGTTCTACTATCTCCTTTTCGTTTTGCTGGAGATGGCCTGTCAGATTTCAAAAAGTAAAGAATGCATTAATTTTTCATATATTTTCAAGTTCCTAATTTACGATATTCAGCCATATACAAATGTGTTGCTGAGAGAAGGCTTCAATACAGTGAAGTTACTCCATAACTCTAAGCGTGTAGGAGTAACACTGAATACATGGGAGATCAAGCACACAGGCAAAACACCAACTTGGTGGCTATGCCACCTCAGGCACATGTTTCACGTTTATATATTGCTTCATGTATAATTCATCTGCCTTCAAATTTACCGCATACAACTGCACCCACTTCTTCTGAAAATCCAGTCATGTCTGTTACAAGTCTATTAATATGTATCACAAAAAAATCTGATAAATGCCGTTAAGCAATATGGACAGAATGAATATATACCGCACAGCCCCCTAACACAGTTCCAGTGGAGAAACTCAATTATTAATAATATTCAAGGATTGTAGCAATCCTTTTGCTAGCAAGGCAGTCAACGTTCTGTGCAAGGGAGCATTATGTGTCAAAGAAAAAAACCTGTAAGGCATAGCTGATACGGTAAGTCCAATGAGAGAGGGAAACACCTAAAAACCACAGTAAGAAACCACTTCCCGTTCCAGCCCAAACTCTCTAAGAACAGTTTTCCATTATCTGATTACCAAACGAGATGCTCACACAATTATTTCTTTGGTTAGCACTGGATGAATACAAATGAGCATACTGAAGCTCCAGAAGCTTAATAGTGGTTATGTAACACCACTGGCCCACACCCAGCAAGCCACAGGTGTTATAATTTGTATAATCTATTAATGTCTATTCAAATTGAAATTGAACATATGAATTAATAGAAGGCGGCTTTAGGTTTCAATACATAAACTGTATTTCCTTCCCTACTTCTGTCTCATCTCCTCCATTTCATTCTGCCTCTCTCAAGAATGCAGAATGAGTGGCTTTGAAAAAAGCAGCAGCTTTCCATTTTATTTTAATGACTCCCAGGAGGAAAGCTGTAACCGAGACTGCATGTGTGGATGCACACATGTGGGTGGTAAAAAGGGGACCAAATGGGTTTGGTACAGTGGAAATGTGTACACTGAGATACATATCTCTGTGAGTTAATCATGCTATGCCAGCTGGTTTTCAACAAAAATATCATTTGCTATGTATTACTATTTACCCTATTTAGACCAGCTGGTAGTATCCTGACTGAATATTAGTAACGATTTCTACAGAATTGCCCATAATCTTACTATCGTAAAAGAGCTTGGGCAAAAAAACCCTGTTAATTAATTAAAAAGTCTTTCTCTGACAACACACCCAGTGGCTTGGCAACACAGATAAATATGTCTATAATTGTATTTTCACAGTGGCACTGTCATGGTTACAGGTCTGTTCCCATCGCTCACCTTTCAGAGTCCCTTTCAGTATCAGGGTTGTTGATGGCGTAAGCGCATGTGTGATTTGGCTGTTATCTCACTTCGAGCACGGGATCCAGATGGAATTGGGACTAACATGCCAAATATTAATACAAGCACTGTATACACTTTCCCATTTGCAGATGTAATCGCATGCCTCCACTGCCTTCTCCTGTGAGCTTGAGATATGCTAGACACCAGCAGACTCTTAGAAGTTTTGTTCCACTGGCTGAATAAACTCACATGAAATAAATAGCGCTTAGGAAAAAAGTCAGGAATATATTCATGCAATCGTTGTTAAGATCTAACGTTGAATAACGTTGCATAAATGCTTAAATCTCTTTATAAATTAAATTAATATTTTAGGCTCCTAACTTTTCATGCTCTGAACATTACCTAAGTTATAAGCCTAAAATAAGCGGAACGCATGACATGCAGAGCTATATTCAGTTTCCACACAATTTACACACATATGGCACATCAGAAGTGAGAGCAGAACTGAGAAAGGTAGCCACGTGTTTTGGGGGTCTAGGTATATTTTTGCTATATTGCTAATCTAATTCCACTCTACGAACAGCAAAGGAATTGGATTAGGCCCTGGAAACTCAGTGCAAGGTGTCAAAAAGTGCGCTGTAATCCAGTAAATAATTAATTAAGGTGAATAATAACAGTTAAATAATTAAATGTGTTTAATTTTAAGCACTCAAGAGGGAACTATGAAGCTTCCTGACTGTAGGAAGCCACATGTCTCCATCTATGGAAGAGCTGCAATAGCAAGGCACATGCTCCACAACCCGAGTGCTAATGGAGACAAAACACCTTTCGGGGAGAAAGGCTCCCCAGCAACGCCGCTACCTCACCGAGTGAGAGCAGGGTGAGCATGCAGCGGCACCACCGAGCTGCACTGACACAACCGGCTCTGCCGTCACGCTCCCTCCCTGCTGCACGCCCCAGCTCTCCTGCCCGCGCACGTGCGGCATGCAAGTCCCACACTCGAGCTGCGCTCATGCCTTCTGCGAGCCCCACGCGGCTCGAGACCTCCAAGTTAGCCGCCCTGTCTGAAATAATCACTTTCACTAGTGCATCAACAAGGGCTTTGTTGAAGGGATTGTATATTTATTTTATTGTATGTAGTCCCGGCACGACAGCACCCTACTCCCTTAACTGAAGTCCCACTGCAGCAGAATCTATTGTTATTATTAATGCAATAAAATAAATACGAGTGGGAGCTGCTATATGAAACGAGCTGCTTATTTTGTAATATTTTATTTATAACTTATTTGTTTATCTTACAAACATCCCAGCATTATATGTAGTTTAACACAGACACAATCTGCAGTGCTGGGAGTCTCTGGGTTAAATCCTTAACCACAAAGCTGAATAACCAAAGTGCAGGTTTTTCCTTCATATGAAATGTTTCTTTATGGGAGTTTCAATTGTATTTGACCATTCCTCTTCATATAATTACAGGTAAAATTTCACTCTCTTAGCTTTTCTAAGGTAAAATGCAGATTGGAAAAGTCTTCAGAACCAGTATTGCTTGTGGGTTCATCCGGTAGGGTCCTAGAATATGGCTCAGACTTCTAACCATCACTACAGTATACTTGCAAGTAGGACTAACTACTGCTACCAATTACACCTACAGGACCAAAGAGGCTGATGGAGTTCATATTAACATTCATGTCTCGATTTTGTGGAAATAAAGTCAATCAATTTTTATTTAGTGCTATGTCTAGTCTACTGAAGAGGTTCGTCATTAAGGAAAGATTTAACATTTCTCTTGAAATGCTGTGATTTGACTCTCTGCAGAGAGCCTCGGCTGCAGATGCTGCTTGTGAGAGGATAAATATAAACAGTGCAGACCGAATGGGAAAACTTGCAGCTTGAGAGGAACATTTTCAAAGACTATGCATAACAAACTCCTAAAAAGAAAAAAAATTCTGATGCTTTTGCATTTTTTTATGGCATACATTAATCCCAAATCATTTTCAGAGAAAAAATAAGACATTATAATAAGAATACAATGGGAACGTTGTGCTAAACATAGATAATGATTTTTATCATAAAATAGTATCACTTGATAAGAAAGGGGCTGCCTAAGGAATCTGTGAATACAATTCCACTGTACACACCGCTGCTGTTGTTGCTTGCTAGTAGCCTTAGTGTATGTGGATGCCCCAAAGTGTATGTGAATAATGTAAAAACAAGGATGTTTTTATACTGCAAACACATGTTTCTTTGGCACATTGTCACACCCCTCTCCTCAAATGGTTTCAACACATGGATCCTACAGGCACTTTTCTCTTGGTTTAGGCTGAACAAGCAGTAGATGGAAGAAGCTGGGAATAAGATCTAAAATACAGGGTAGACACTGTCTACCCTGCCAGCAAGTCTACTAACCTAAGAAGAGGAAGGAAAGGGAATTTATTTAGAAGGAATACTCTAAATGCTAAGTTATTAATCAACCCTATTAATAACTATTATGTCATAATTAATGCCTAAGAAGAGGCTAGACATTACAAAACTCCATGCTTAAGGGATACGGTTAAGAAAGTCTTGCAAGAGTTTGGGAAAATGTTCTGGTTTGTAAGAAAGTTGCTCAACCTAGGAGGGATAGGCTTATTAACAGATGCAGTAGGCTTGGAGACACTAAGCTGGGGAAGGCAGAAGGGCCTTTATTTTGAAGGTATGAAAGAAAAAGAGGTGCTCAGAGACACATTATCCCCTCCTTTTCCCTCTACCCCTCCAGCTAGCTAAAATACACAGAAGCCAGGGAGGACTTTTAATGTACAGTGTAGCCTGAAAAACACCACCTTCTAATTTTATTTTCTCTTTGTAGCCTCATTTATAATTCTCTAATCAAGATCACAGCTCTGTTGTACTAAATCTATCTTTGCTTTAAGCTTGCTTAGTGTTTAAATTTGACTTAAACAGATTAAACAGGTAACAGAGCATGCTGCTGTCATGGAAGCACAAATCCAAATAAATCACAATTCCAGGCAAGCCTTTTCAGTAGTTTGCAACCCAAGGCAAATGTGCAGATCCCCCAAATTGGACTGTGCTTCTCACTAAGTTGCAAGGGCGGTGACCAAAGGTAGGAAGCCTTAGGATATGGGGCCACCAGAGGCAGGCAAGGGAGCAGCTGCCCATGGCCCTAGGGGAAATTCTCTCATGGATGTCTGTCTGCATCCAAGGAGCAGGAGCAGTAGTTGTGCTAGAGGTGCCTCTATGGACCACGCAACTCTTTTGTGATTCTGTTTTCAATTTGCGTCAAGGATGCTCACAGCTCCGGTTAACTGCTGCGGAAATTAAAATCCAACTCATTAAGCCCCTGCCAAACAGCCTCACCTCTTTCTCATTAGTTTTGCTAACCCTGAGTTATTCTGTTCTTTCCAATTTTTATGGTACAAAGCGTCTTTTCTACTGCTCCATAAA